AAAGGTGTTTTTCTTTGTCTCCTTATTCCCAGGCCAACAATAACACCTCTTAAACCGGGCAGGGTGCGGGCAGGGGCCCGCCTGCGGGACGGTTTGGGAAAATTACGGGTTTTGCCTCTTTGTGTTTTGTCCCAGCGTTGATAAACGATCGGTGTGTTGTGCCTCTCACTTCTTCACCAACTTTATCCTTTTATAGCGTCTGGTTGCTGCCGTCCCCCTTTTCCTATGTTGTAGCTGGTTTCAATGTGATCTGTAATCGGGGGAAATTCTGGCTGCGTTTCCCTCCCTTGTTCCGTTTGCTAAATTTACCACGATTTATCGAGCATTTCTGTTGAAACGTGGGAGATCCTGATAACGATAAAATACTTTCCGTGGTCTCTATCGGCTTTTAGCTTTTTTCTACTCGGAGGCAGAAAATGAAATGTGTGCTAGAACCTCCTTGGCTTGTTTTGAGCGTGTTATCTCAAATGCACGTAAAAACTGCTCATTTAATGAGGTTAGACTGGGTAATACTTGTGCTGAGCAGTAGTACAGCTTTCGGGAGAGGCAATCTTCCACCCGTTGTGTATATATTAGTATATGTGTATATTAGTAATGGCCAAAGCATTTCTTACAGACATATCTACGGTTATGTGACATTTTTATGAGCAAGGTGAGCAATTATTAAGAAGATGCCCAAGCTCCTCTTGCACAGGAGATGGCTTGTTTGTAGTGGTGGAGATTCTTGGTGTGACTGTGGAGAGATTTGTGAGCTAGCAGTTACGTTGCAGAAGAAAGTCTAGGAGACCTGTTCTTAATTAAAACCGAATACGTTTCTGTGCACAGTAGGATTATCTGTGTTTATGAGCGTGGAGATCTAGAGAGAAGTTTGCATTTTGGAGCCTGACATTCAGTAGGAGTTTTACGTAAGCAGTTCTCTCACTGAGTATTCCTGATGTTGTTCAGACTGTGGTAAGTCTCTCTTGGTTATTAGAGGAGAAAAATGTTTTTGGAGGCTATGTACAGAACAGCCAGGTGTCTCAATCGTACAAGCGTACACCGGTGTCTGCATATGGCTGAGAGCCACAGCACACGTGCCTCAGATAACGGGCATGGAGAAGCCTATAGGCAGTTTGCAGGCAGGTGCTGGTTGGGGGGGTCTCCAAATCTTTATTTCAGGATGGGATTAGACTGAGTGTACTTTTGGATTCCTGGGTGAACCAGAATTACTGATTCCAGTAGTCCCTCCTGCCTTTCTTTCACAACCGAGAACTTGTGTTTTTCTAGCAGCCCCCACATCAGCACACGCCTGGTGTTAGCCATTCGATACTGTAGCTCTCAGATAAAAGCTGGAGGCAGTGCCAAAAGCGACAGGCTGGTTGTCTGTTCCTGAGATGAATTGCCTGCTAATAAAGCACAGAGTTTCTCTGTATGTGCGTGTTATGAAAATGTCCAGAATACTGAACAGGAAAACAATCTCTCTGGGGTTTGATTGAAGGCAGTAGTTGTATGAACTAAATAGAAGCAGTCATTTTGCCATGAAATGGTTCTGTACATTTCACATGGAATTTCTGAAAAAAAATCAGACTTGGAGACTGCTTAGAAATTGAAACAGGTATATCACCATACAGTGAACCTGTATGGCTGGATACTTAATGTTGCTTATTTATGAGGATAAAAATCCACTCTGAAGACTGGTGGAGGTGCATCATCACCAGAGAGTCTATTAAATGTCTCTTGACCTTTAAAATTATTTTCTTATTGTTATAAGCACTGTACTACTTTGCATTCTGTAAGTTTTACTGCTTTCTGGTTTTTACTCTCAGGTCAGATATCGCTTGTGTTTACTCCCTGCTCTGCTTGATGAATCATTCTCTAGCAAGTGGCTGTGAAATCCATAATATGTATTCAGGAACATGAGAGAAATGTGTTTTTACTGTAAAAATGACAGAAATGTCTAGCATTCTGTGTACAAAATTGCTTTGTAGAGTTTCTGCTAGGCTAAAAAAAGTTACCTTCTGTTTCTTGCTTTTTTTCTCTGTCACTGTAATTATTCAATATATTCTTTGATTTTATTCTTTAATTATCTACTCTCAGTTTTCTTCTCTCTCTCTTTCCTTTTTCTTGTCTTCCAGTTTTGGCTGTACTAACACCATTGCTCGTTTGCTACTCTTAGAGTGTTACCTTCACCCAGTATCTGTACTTGGCCCTCAGACACTATGAGGAGACTGGCTTTTCGAGGTGCTGGTTGTACTCTGGTAAATCTGGTAAATTATTGATTGTACGTGTACCATTCTCTCCATTCCTCTGCTTTAGGCTTTTGCTTTTCTTTATCCTAACTGTTAATTATTCCTGCCTTATGCTTATTCATCTCATTTGTGTGCATGAAATTAATTCTGTCTCTAACATAAATGCTCTAATGAGGTTATGTTGTGCTGCCATACCTTGTAAATCAGCTGAGTGCTTCCTAGAAGAAGTTCCTTGATTTGGTTGGAAAATGGGTATAGGCTGGGATAGATGGATCTATTCTGTCTTCAGCCTTTGAGGCAGCTACAAATAAAGATATTTTTCTGATGCTGTCACTGGAAGTTGGGAAAGAGCCAACAACTTGTTCCGTAAATCACCAGAGTTGTTGGATGGTGGTTATTCATTTGTCACTGTTTGTGTTGGTAAATGGAAAACTGTGGCCAAAAAAGGAGGTGGCTTTTTTTACTTCTTGATGATTGAGCCATTCATCCTACACATGAAACGGGAATGGCAGGTCACATGATAGTCCAGACCTTTTTTTGGCTTGAATCTAAGACAAGGTATTCAGTAGCCATTTGAATTTTTGTTTGTAATTTGTTGTCTTCATGGGGTTTTTTTGTTTGGTTAGTTGTTGTGTTTTTGTTTTTTTTTTTTAATTTGACATGGGATGACATGCTTTTACAGAACTGAGCACGTGTCTCTGTACAGCTTTTTCCATTAAAACAGCGGTTCTCGCTTGGTTATCATGCATGGGATGAGGTATCAAAATGTAGATAGTTTAAGAACGTATCCTAGTAAGAGCTGCTAAATTCATCTTCATCACTGTGAGCCCTAGGCTTTCTGACATTGCTGTCATCAGTGACTGTAAAACTGTAGGACCATTTTGATTTCCCTTTACTCTTGCCCATTTTCAAAAAGCTGGTGTTTAGATATGTGGTTTAACTGAACTGTAGTATGTAACAAATGTATGTGACTCATCCTAAGCATCGCTAGCTTTATAGTTAGCTCTCACCAGAGAGTTTGGATGCCATGCCATGAGTTTAAGAACATCTGTCTTCATTATAGAAGAAGTTGGATTCCATGGGTTCCAAGAGGCGAAGAGCTACCTCGCCTTCCAGCAGCATCAGCGGAGGAGACTTTGATGATGGCCATCACTCCACGAATGTACCAGGCCCAAGCAGAAAGAGGAGGAGACTTTCCAATCTCCCAACTGTAGATCCTGTTAGTACCGTCTTATTATGCACAACTTTTTTTTTCTTGGGGTTACTGTATCCCTGTCTGGGAAATGCTGGATTGTAAAATGGATGATCAAATGTAGCACATATACACTGGCCCTGAATCTGTTGCTGCCTTGGCTATGCTTTGTTTAGGATCTCGTTCAGCTTTGGCTTGTTCTTGTCTCCCCAGTTTCATCTTTTTCTTTCCCATTTTCCTTTTGCTGCTTTTCCGTTTTTGCTGATGGTTTTAGCAGATGGAAGGATGTTGGAGAAGGAGCTGAAATCATAACGTGCAGAAGTTGAGAGCTGTGTCTGAATAGCAAATGCAGAGAGAAATAAGTGGGGAACGGCACAGGCAGTCATTGCTGAAGTGTACAATGTCTCTGTTACGCCTTTGAGTTAGCAGTCTAATTTTAATTAATTGCAGGGCAGAAGAACCCCTGTCGTTGTCTTAATTGTCTATAACTCGGAGAGAATTGTACTGAATTAATTTACATTTTGGGTGTTTTACTTAGAATTAGCATTGAAAGAAAGCTCCCGATGTTCAAAAAAATAAATTAAAATTCTGCAGTACCTGGCATACTTGTCAGGTATCGTACTAATGTATGAGATGCACCAATTTCTTCATACTTCTGCTTTAGAGCACGCTGTGGATTGGCAGCTTGTCTTTCCCATTGTAAGCAGGCTTTGATTTGTTACCTCCTTAAAATTTTCTCCTTTTTCATTACTTTATTGTTCTTGCATTTTAGATTGCTGTATGCCATGAACTTTACAACACCATCAGAGATTACAAAGATGAACAGGGCAGGCTCCTTTGTGAGCTTTTCATTAGGGCACCGAAGCGAAGGTAAGACCATGGGTCTGGTTAAGCCTTGAACCTGAGATTTAATCAGGGAGTAAATGGATATTGAGGAATACTTCAGCATTAATAGCTGTGAAAAATTTAAGCTAAATATGTCATAGTTTCACACCAGTGTTTGATCCGAGTCTTTGATGTAATTATTCAATGGGACAGGCTAACACTGGTGCCCTTTTTCAGTCAAAAAAGGATACACTGAGTTAATTTAAAATGTTTCTTGTGACACCTGCCTAAAACATCTATGTCTTTGACTATAAAATATTCCACGTAAGTGGTGGAATCTGATACTAAGGGTATATCTTGGGAAGATTAATAGAAGTGACCCTTGAAAATGCAGTAGATAAAGTAAGAGACTGAGTTTTATCTTAAACTCAGAAAATTGAGGATGATAGTAGAACATGTAATGAAGTCAGCCTACTAATAGACCACTGTCCAGATCTTCTAGCTGTAACAAAAATGTGTTGGAACTTTCTTTGTTTTATTTAGTCATAGGCACGTAGAAACTTTAGTGCTGTGGTTTTGGTTTTACTGCTTGGAATATAATGCCTTTTTTGTCATTGCAACAGAAATCAGCCAGATTATTATGAAGTGGTTTCTCAGCCAATCGATTTAATGAAAATCCAACAAAAGCTAAAGATGGAGGAATATGATGATGTGAATGTGCTGACTGCTGATTTTCAGCTTCTCTTTAACAATGCGAAGGCATATTATAAGGTGAGGAAAATACATATAAAGGCTCAAATTCATTGTAAAAGTGGTAGAGATATGTTCAAGTTTTTCCTTCGTTTGGCCAAAAACTTTTCGGTTTAGCCTTTATTATTGGTAAGAGAACAGCACACATGGCAGTTGTTTGGATATATTTCCATAAGGTTCGCTGTATCTTTGTAAGATGTCCTACTATAGCAATTTTTCTGTGGAAAGCAATAAAATAATGTAGGGAGGGTCCTTATGTAGTTTTCCAAAAGAGATGGAAAGCAAAAATAGAGACGTAAACTGAGAAAAATATTCTTCTGTCAAAGCCTTCTCATTTTACAACACACTCTGTGTGACCTTTTGAAATAGAAAAAGAGTATTTTTTTCCCAAAAGGAAGAGTTTATAGATAACAGCAAGCATATGGTAGGAGTGTTGAATCTTTCTCTTCCATTGGCCATTTAACAATATGAAAAAAAGGCACATTGATTATCGTGGTCAGTGATGATAGATTGTGAGTGTATGTGATGGTGTATTTCATCAGGGGTGCAACCCCCATGTCCATTCCCCCAAACTGGATATGTGTTTTATTTCAGATGTTAATGGTTTTTATTGCAGTTGCTGTAAGGAAGTGGGAAAAAATTGGATTAATCTCGTTCAGTGGAAAGCTATGATAAATACCTAAAACAGTGAAATTGTATGTGGTGACTTGAGATGATACAGTAAATCTAAAACTGCTAATATTACCTTGCATATATCTTTGACTTTGGAGATGATCCAAATGACTGCTTTCTGAATAACCCAATGAGTGTAACCAGGTGACATTCAGAAAAGCAATGTTTATTTTGTTTACGTTTGTGTGTGTGTGTGTAGCTTTTTGAAAAACAATCAGATTTATGGATTAATGCATTTGCACATTCTGGTTACAGTAGAAAAAATACAAAGATTTCCAAATTCATTGTGTACTCCTGAAGCTTTGCAAGGCACTCGCCCATTATTGTTGGCTTTTTCATGGTTTCTACGTGAGGGAGAAGGACTTGATGGCAGGAAAGAATGATCAGAGTTTTACAAAATGTGTGCTGCCTTTGCCTACAGCATAGTGGATTCGAAATTCTGCCTGTATCGTAAAAATCTTGCATGTAGAATAGAAATAGGTAGCCGTCATTCTAGGATGAAGGAATGTTGACGTTTCCAGAGAAATGGAGTTGTGAGCTGGAGATATGGCACACAAACATAACCTCTTCTTTTTTTCATCTTTCACTTTGCCCACGGCAGTTCCAATGACGCATATAAAACAGGGACGGCTGATTCATTGTCAAGGTCTTTATTGCAGCAGGTGTTTTATTGGCAATGCTAGATTAGAATGGAAACCTTTGGTTTTTAGTATTTCAGTTCAAGTCTTACACTTTTGAGCATCTTGCATTAATATAGAAGGAAGCAGACTAGTGGAGCAGAATACCCTTTAAATCTGTTCCTCGTAATTAACACCTGGTCTAATGTCTTGAGAATATTTAAGCCTAATAAGGTAAGCTTAAGAATAGTTCTCATGTTGGTTTCTCATTTGTATTACAAGCTGTCAGAGGTTGAGAGAGTGAAGAAGAGCGTAATCAGCAGTAATAAGGTGACATATCTGCAGGAGTATCTGAAATAGAGGTTAAGTGACAGAGGAAAGGGAAAGAAAAGTATGAAAGAGTGGAAAAGCAGTCTTTTTTTCTGGGTAATGTTCTTAAGTAGTAATGTTAATAGGCACATGCTTGTCTGTCATTACCAACTGGGTATTTACAAAACTTAATTTGCCTACTAATGCTTCTAGCTCTTCCAGAAAATTTACCTAGATGTGTACCCAGGTGGTAGCATGTTGTCAAGTTCTTTGGAATTTCACAGTTAATGCTGAGTTATGGAAGAGTGTAAATCCTTGCAGTGCTTTCAAAGTTATTGGCACATTTATTGGCATTCTTCCGCTGTAGAAATTAATTTTCAAGTGCCACACAATGGCAGCAGTATTGGCTTAAATCACATTTCTGGCATACTGATGTTGAGTCTATTTTAAATGCCAGTAGTGTTGTACTGCAACAAAACTTAATGATTTCTCCAGATTCATCTTATAGGCTTTTCCAAGCCTCAACCCAAGTAATTTTATTGCTAAGTTTTCCAAAAGACTTAGATGCTTTGGAGTGATAGAGGTTATATTTTCTAGTGCTTATTGCGATTCTTAACATCTGTGTTGAAGAACGACTGAAGCAGGAATTTCCCAGGTTTTCTGTTATTTATTTAATGCATTTAATACCTTTCAACGAATAATTTATAAATTTCCTTCAGATAAGAATGATCTGAATTTTCAGTAGAATATTTGATTTGTTTTTGCAGCCTGATTCTCCTGAATATAAAGCTGCCTGCAAATTATGGGAGTTGTATTTGCGCACAAAAAATGAATTTGTTCAAAAAGGTGATGCTGAGGAGGAAGATGAAGATGAGGAAGGACATGACAATCAAGGCGCAAATTCTGAATTAGTAAGTGTGGGCATGACAGCTGCAGTTGGAGGAAGCCATGGCTGTGTATGTCAGCTGACTCTGAGAGGGAGATTGGCCTCCATATATGAAAAAGCATTAAGTCTTTTCATAGTTAAATGATGCCCCAACAGGTATTTCTTATACAAGTTTATTAGTTAATAATTATTTCACAGCATTGTATGTGTGTTTCACTTTTGCCTAGCAAAAAAAAAGTTGAGATTTTCTGATATGGATAAAACGTGGTTCTGGTTTAGTTGAAACCAATATGTTGTGTGCTTGATATCATGCCAACGTTGAGGTTTGATGCAAGCAAGCTTCATGTCTAATGACATTGTTCTCCAGCGTGTGTCCCGTTCAGTTAGTGCAGCTGTTCCTGGAGAGTTTTGTAAGCCAGATAAGATGATAGGAAGTTTGGGCTTGCCTGGCTTTTGTGATATTGGGATGCATGTTTTCATTAATGTTGACAACCAAGTCTATTCTAACAATATGTAATGTATGTCGGACAGTCTGCAGTGTAAATGTGAAATTAAAGTTTTCTCATGTGCTTTACCTAAATGCATAAACAACTTTGTTTTCAAAAGTTGCATCCATGTTTTATAGCTGATTTTTTCTGTCTTTGAAAAGTAAACTCATATATTTCAGTGCAACTTGAAGCACTCCACTATGGCTGCTATTAAAACTTCTTGTGATTTCATTTCTTATATTAGTCATCTCCAGGTTACCTGAAGGAAATTCTTGAACAGCTTCTTGAAGCTGTAGCTGTTGCCACAAACCCATCAGGACGCCTAATAAGTGAACTGTTTCAGAAACTTCCTTCTAAAGTGGTGGGTATTTTAATAATATCGGTTGTGTTCTAAGTTGGAAACCTGGACACGTATATAACTGATGTTATACACGATGATGGGCACACTCAGGGTGCAGTTCTTTGTTACTGTCTCATCAGTGGCAAACTCCAGCTGTTCTCAGAGCTTCCCTCCCTTCTTTGCTCCTACCCACTCGTTCCCAGCCCTTCATGGCGGATTGGGGCTTGCCCTGTTCTGCCAGTTTAGGTAACTGGCTTTTTTTGGTGCAGAGTTTTTAATCTTTTTAAATATGTCGGATTTCACTGTTCTATTGCAGGCTGTGGTGTAACAAGTTTAACCAGCAAAATAAATACTCTGAAGTCCATCACCACGTATTTGGCTTTCAGACAGAACTGTTCCTTTAAGTCAGTTTATTGATGAATTATAATTCCTTGTATCTGCCTCATGATCTGGCTCACCCAAATTGAAGCCTGGTGCTATGTTTATGAAGCTTACACTGTTCTTATCTGCAATTCGTCTAATAGTTCATTCTATGAGCTATTAGAACAATAGCTTTGTGACTGTTTATAGTAATACATAAATTATTTTTGTTTTCCAGCAATATCCAGATTATTATGCAATAATAAAGGAGCCCATAGATCTTAAAACTATTGCCCAAAGGATACAGGTACAGTATGAGCATATTAACGTGTCAGAGTATAGACTTGTTTAACTGTGGCTTCTAACAATTTTAGAATACGTAAGGTTTATGGCGGTAGGAAAGGCAATGTGTTTTTCCCCTGCTACTTAAAAATCTGAATGCTATGCTGATTTAATGCTCTGTCCTGGATTAATGCTGCAGAAGTAGCTGTGTTGAAGATCAAGCATCGTAAACTGTAGTGTGCTGGCACTGAGCCTGAATATCTTGGTTTCCTTGATGTTTGATGGTTTAAAGTAGTTCCTTGGCAAGTGCTGCTGTTGTAAAACATTGAAGTATTGAAGCTTGGTCATGCATTATCATCACCTACTTTTGTTCTAGTGCTATAAATAGATATTTTGTACTGATGCATTTTTCATCTTAGTTCTCCAGTAATTTGAAATTTTGTTCTGTAATTCTAGCATTTTGTATAATAGTGAGGGATAGCACATAGACTAATTGAACTAGAGAATAAAGGTAAAATCACATTTTGTCAGAACCCTTCAAAATCCTGAAGGGCAAAGGGGTCCAGGAAGGCTGGACGATCTTCAAGAAGGAAGTCTTAAAGGCGCAGGAGCAGGCTGTCCCTGTACGCCGCAAGAAGAACGGGCGGAGAAGACGACCGGCCTGGCTGAACGGGGAGCTTTTGCTGGGACTCAGGAAAAAAAGGAGAGTTTATCGCTTGTGGAAGAAGGGGCAGGCGACTCAAGAAGAGTACAGGGATCTCGTTAGGTTGTGCAGAGAGGAAATGAGAAAGGCAAAAGCCCAGCTAGAACGCAACCTGGCCGCTGTCGTTAAAGACAACAAAAAAAGTTTTTACAAATACATTAATGACAAGAAGAGAGCCAGGGAGAATCTCCATCCTTTATTGGATGCGGGGGGGTGCACCCACAAATTGGGCAATGTTTTCAAATTAATTCCTTTTTCTTTATTTTCCCTGATATGCCTCACTTCACACCATTATAGATCTCAATTTATTCCTCCATAAACTATCACTGTTCTATGTAGCATTTATGGCACTCACCCGCCATAGTTGTCATTGTTACAAATTGTTTGTCATTGTTGCCTTCCTCCATGGCTGTGCAGGGCACTCTGATTGTAAATGCTGGCTGCTCCCAGTTACCCTGAGCAACAAACGAATTGGGGAGAGGGAAGTCATAAAGAGGTCATCCCCTACACCCTGAGGAAGGACAAGGAAGACAGCTGGAACTACATGTGGTGGTCTCTTGTTTGAATGAGTAAATTGTATAGCAATCTCACTTCAAAGTAGCTGCATGAAATTGCTGAATTGCCCCTAGTTAGAATATCTTCTGTGCCGTTAATGTGATTGATTTGTGTATTACTTACTAAGAATATTTTTTTCCTTAATTCCCTCTCCAGTTTGCTCTTTCTGTTGTTTACTTTTCTTCAGCTTGTGCCTAACCAGATTGGAAATGCACATGGCAGTGTTTAATTATGATACTTGCATTGGCTTGAGAGGATACATATACTGCCGCTGCAACTTTCTAAATAGGGCCTTTCTTGCTTTAATTCTTCTGTCAACGATGATATACAAAAGGTTATGAGGAGGGGTTACAGCAAAATAGAAATGGTTGGAGAAATTAGCAAGTATTTATATGCATTGTATTTTAAATATCTTTCAACTGCCTCAATAGAATCTGGATTCAAATTCTTCAGAAGCTGGAGAAAAGCTTTGTTTTGACCTCAGTGGACTTTGGGTTGGAGTCTAGGTAAAAAAACCCCACCCTAGTCTAAGGTGCTTCCTCTGCCTTCTAACACACTCTCTCTCTCTCTAACAGTTTGCTTAGGTAAATGTGTTTGAAGAAACCTTAAAAATTTGCAATATTTAGGCAACCTATTTTAGATGTCACAATGCTTAATGCTCTTCAGAAAGTTTCATGTCCTGGAGTCAGGTTATAATGTAAGAACTTGAGTTGTCATTTAAAAAAAAATATTGCTTGGTCTTGAGATTACCCAAAGGAGCTAGCATATATGAACAGTAAAAGATTAAAAACAACACCCATCAAACAAGTGAAATAAATAATGATCCTTAAATCAATCTTGAATCCTTTGGGGGAGCAGGCTCAGGACAGTGAATGTTTATACTTCACTCTGGAAAAAGATGGAAATTGCCTGGCTGTGTATATTTGTCCAGAGAAGGGCAACGAGGCTGGTGAGGGGTCTGGAGAACAAGCCTTATGAGGAGCGGCTGAGGGGGCTGGGGTTGTTTAGCCTGGGGAAAAGGAGGCTGAGGGGAGACCTCATCGTGCTCTAGAACTACCTGAAAGGAGGTTGTAGCGAGGTGGGTGTCGGTCTCTTCTCCCAAGTAACTGGCGAAAGGATGAGAGGAAATGGCCTCAAGTTGCGCCAGGGGAGGTTTAGATTGGATGTGAGGAAAAATTTCTTTACTGAAAGAGTGGTTAAACATTGGAACAGGCTGGCCAGGGAAGTGGTTGAGTCACCATCCCTGGAAGTATTTAAAAGACGGGTAGATGAGGCACTTAGGGACATGGTTTAGTGGGCATGGTGTTGTTGGGTTGATGGTTGGACTCGATGATCTTGGAGGTCTCTTCCAACCTTAATGATTCTATGATTCTATGAAAATAAAGATAATCTAATGTATTAAGTATTTTTTCAATCTTTTACTTAGCATTCATAAGCTCTATAAGGACTTAGCACTTATCTTTGTTACTTTCTTTTTTGGTGACATACTTGTCTGTCCTCTTTATAAATATGTTTTTGTTTTTCTATAAATGTTCCCTTTATTCTATATTAACTCCATTTGCTTTTCACTATTGACTTAGTTCTCATGCTGTCTGAAGGTTGCCACTTTAACCAGTTCTGTTTTTTGTTGTACAGAATGGAACTTATAAAAGCATTCATGCAATGGCCAAGGATATAGATCTTCTGGCAAAGAATGCCAAAACCTACAATGAGCCTGGATCACAAGTATTCAAGGTTAGTTTCAGTTGTTCATAGTTTGATTTGCGTTCAGATTTTCTTTATTACTTCCTGTGCTGACTGATCCTTAAATGAATCTTTAGCATAAGGCCCTAAAGACTCTGTTTGCATTTTTTAAAAAATAGCTATTCATGGCTTTTCCTTTTTTTATATTGCTTTTAGTATAATTGGGAGTATGGTTGGTTTTTTTTTTTTTTCTTTTCTTGAGGTGTATGATTTTTTTCTCAATTAAATCTTTTGTCAGGGTATGAGTTACATGACTTCTTTGGAGGGATGGAGGATCCCTGTACTTGTGATTGACATTGAAATGGCTGAAACTACAGGTTCAAGTGGTAGCGGCAGTACTCAGCTGTTACCTTTTTCCAGATTGCAGGAACTGTTTATGGTTTTCATCATAAGCTTCAAAACTGGAGTCATGCCTTCTTTGCATAGTTTTTGAAGATCCTCTTCCTTTTAGCCATATTTTTGTGACCAAATTGCACCTCCTATCTCTTTCATACTTAGTTCACCAGCATTTTGTGTACAAAGTATCACATTGCTGTTTCCATGTACTCTAAAAGTAGGAGAATTTCAGTGGTAAATTATTCCTTTGTGTGTTCGGTTTTTAAGGGCTTTGTAGTGAGAGACCTCGTGTATGTTTAATGTTATGTAAGTGGTTCTTGGACTTTGCCAGTTGCACTTCTGCTTGGATTGTCCTTTCAGTTCCTACTGACATTACTGACACTTGTAACCTCACCCAAAACTTGTAATCTCTATTTTGTGAACTGTTACTCCAGGTATTGAGTCCACGGGTGTAGAATGAGAGAGAGCAAGCATTGTAAAGCTCGGTAATGGTAGTAACTTTTTGATTGCAAAGGCACAGAAACTCATTTGCCTGTTTAGTTTGAAGTGGTATTCGCCTGTATTTGCAAATTGTAGATTTTTTTTGGTTTTTTTTTTTTTAAGTGACAAAAATTGAACTCGAAGCTACTCAGCTATTCTATTCAGTTTTTACAGGCCACTGTGGGTGTATTTCAGGCAGACTTTGTTCTGTGCTTCGTTTCTGATGCAAAATTGTTTTACATCTAAATGTAAAAACCCCTTCATTTTTGTTTTTGATTTTTAGATAGATGGATATACCTGACTGTAACATTCTTCCCTTTCAACATTAAACAAAAAAATTCTTTTAATTGACAGGATGCAAATGCGATTAAAAAAATATTTAATATGAAAAAGGCTGAAATTGAACACAGTGAATTGGCCAAGTCAAGTCTCCGAATCAGGTACTGCAAATAGAGTTCTTTTTATAATCTCATAAAAATCTCTATAGACATTCCCTTAATTTTGCTGTGGAGAATATAGTGGGAAATAATTGGTTGAAAACTTGGCTTATTGTTGTTTTAAAAGTTATGAATCGTAAAACAGTTTTTGGAAGAAAACTTTTTATTGAGATACTTCCATGGTGAAATATTTCTGTGATGTACTTGATTGTGGAAAAACAGTGTCAGTGGATCTTTTATAACTTAAGCTATGGCCGACTTCCACCATACGTGTTTATAAGTCAGTAACAGAAAAGGAATAGTGAGGACCAAGGTGCTTTGTTGTGCTTTGCTTTACGAAAATGCTGGATATTCTTGAACCTTGTTAGGAGCTGAACCGTAAGAGCTCACAGTTACTTAGGTAGGGGCAGAAACACAGGAACAAGACATCAGGCGACAGATATTTAGAGGGAAGTCCACATTATATAAACTCTTGTTTGAAAACCAATTTTTAGCTCTGAAAAGAGGCGCAGGACACTGAAGATCTGGACTTACTAATTAGTGAAGCATAGATTTGGTCTTGAACAGGCAGGTGTAAAACACCGTTGATAGCTCTGTTTGTTTCATGGAATGATTTTATTTAGGAAACAGCATTATCTTCCTGTGAAAATCCATGTTGTACAGAGAAGTGGTGCAGTCATTTTAGATTTTCTTATCTGAAATGCAATTAGATTTATTGTCGTATAAACTTTTTACTTATGAGTAACACTCAAAAATAGGTTTAGATGTTGTTTGCCAGTATGAGCTGTGTCATTTATCTAAAGAAATAAAGCAACGTCTTGCAAGTCATCCAAGGAGTTAGCAAACTCTTCACAAGGTGGACTCTCTTTGAGCTGTTTACTGGTATTTGATGCTGGAAAACAACTGCTGTCCTTTCCTGCAAAGGTTTGTATGGTACAACTGAGAACACTAGCGCTCCTTTACTTTACTGAAAGGCAGTTTAAATTTTTTTGTTGTCTGAAAAATGTGTAGATGGTGTCAGTGTTAAAAGTATTGCCTAGGATTATTATGTGTAAAAGAAATGGAAGTTTGATTTTTACTATTTGGTGCTTTGGGACATTCAACCTGTGTAGCAGTTTTTCTGGTTCATTTGTTCAGCGTTAGCATGCTTCCCATGTTTGGGTGAATCATTGTTGGAGCATATAAAAATATAAAAGCAGAAATACTGTTAGGGAGTAATTCCGGACACATATTTTAATAATTTTCCTTCTTAAAAGTATGTACAGTGCCAGAAGACCTTGATTCTACAGGCACTGAACGTACATATGTGTTTGCTTTGCAGTAACTAGAATTACATATAGGCATAGAGGTTTTCTATTTAAATTGTGATTTTATTTTATTTTTCTCACTGTGTTGTCCATTGATGAAACTCAGGATGTCACAAGTGTGCGTCATGTTTAATTTTGAGGCTTAACTGTTTTTCTTCAAAATAAAGCCGTTTGCATAAGAAGGGATGACAGATAAATCACACTGGTATTTGTTAGCTGAATTCCTCTCTTGCACTGCCAACCCGTTTCCACTTCTCAGCTACCTTATTCTAGATGTTCTCTTATGTACTGTGTTCTCAATAGACCTGCAAATCCTGAAGTAAGCTGAATGTCAGAATAATTGACAACTCCCTTCTTTGTTTCTCTAACTTGGCAAAAAAAAAAAATTTATAATGCTTAAAGCAGACTACAGTAATATTGGGCTGAATGCAAAAACAATCGGGGTGAGAGAAAAGTATCATGAAAACCAGACCTTTCACCTGCTGTTCTGCATTTCACTGGTTGCTTATCGAACCATTATTCCTTTTTTTTTGTTTCTTTCTGCTGAATCTGCATCACAGAATCATTATTTTTTATTCAAATTCCTAACTGCTTAATTGTCTCAAATGGGGGGTCTCCTTTACCTGTTGCTGATTTTGGTAAAATACCCCCATAAGTTCATTTACAGTTAATTTACTATATTTTTCTTCTGAATTTACATCTGTTTTTCTTTGTCATTGATGGATCAGGCTCAAATTCATCATAATGCTACTAACCTAAGTTCTACAGACATGTTGCCTCTGTGTCAAAAATCATGCTTTTCTATCACAGAGTTCACTGTATCCTTTATCATACTAAATGGCTCTTTGTTGGTGCATTTAACTGTCCTCCCTTAAATAAAATGACAAAATAAAGTTGCTTGACAATATGCACTGTTAAGCAACTTGACAGTGATTTTGTTAAGTATTGATAAAACATGATTGGATTTGTATGATTAGCTTTATCTGGATGCTAAGGAACATTTTGTTGGCTGCTTTCACTGCTGTTGTAGGCTGAGCTGTGTGTATAGCTATTAATCCTCAATGTAAATGTTACCTTCCTCTGACTTGATAAGCAAAATCGATATTAATGCTGGGGCACTAAATGTATCTTAGTATTACTTCACTTTTAGCTTTAAAACATTTTATATCTGTCTCTGAACCTTTTGGCTGATCTATCAAAGTAATTCTGTAAAAAGCTTTATCCTTGCTGTGTCTTTTCTTGGGTCTAAGGTGGGCCTCTTTTTTTCCCCTTTCCTTGGCTTGTCTCTTCTGCCTTAAGGACTCCATCAAATTTGACTGCTTCCAAGCTGACAGGTCCTTCCTCACAGGGTAAAGGCAGTGTTGGTGATGAGAGAAATTCTTCTAACAAATATTATCGGTAAGTAAATTGTGGACTTGGAGGAAAAGCTGGGTTGTCATCATATGGAAATACTAAAATCTAAAATTTTGTTTTTTTTTTTTTTTATTTAGTTGAGAGTGTGCGTCAATATTTGAGATTCAAATATATTTAAATCAATTATCTATTAAGTATGATTTAATAAGTTACTTTGCTGTAATTACTCTTCCATGTTTGATTTTACATTTAACATTTCAAAACACCTGTCATGAAATACTCTGTATGCAATTATTTCCTTAGAAATGTTCTGAAGAACATAACGTTAAGCTTCGTTACAAAATAAAGCAGGTGAAAAATAACATGGAAATGTGTTGTAAACCTAGAAAAATTATATTTAGAGACTAAAAAGAGTCTTACTAAAAGTAGGACTAAACAATTAAGAGATGGATGATGGAAACCAATGAAGCCTGTAAAAAAAGAAAAAAAAAAAAAAAGTATTGCATTTGGAATGCATTTATGACAAACTTGCTGGGTAGGCTGGATTACTGGAGGCTTTCTGGTTTGTTCTTTAAATCATCAGTTGAGAATTTTGGTACCTAGCAGAGGTCTCATGTCTACAGTCTGTGGGCTACTGTCTTGAAACAGTACTACTCCTGGCTAATTCCCTGGGTGTATACTCTGAAACCATGGTTTAACACAGCAGCTGCAAGGGTCTTTAAGGGATTGAGCATTTGTAGAGAGTTGGTGTCATTTTAAGCAACCCACCTGCTTTTTCCCAGTCTTCACTTTGCTCCCACAGGGCAAGGTTGAGCCCATTGCTGGAGGTGCCGAAAGAGCTGACCTAGTAAAAAAGCAGATTGTCAGGCATAGCCTACATTGTAGGTATGAAATGCTGTGCCCCAGGTTTGGGACAAAAGGGAGGAGGAGAGGGATGCTGAAGAAGTCTTTGTGAGACCATAGCCAGCGTGGACACTGATTTACCCCACCTAGAAAGCAGAGGAAGCTGCTTCACATACAGGCACTCCGCGTGCTGAAAATGCCTATGGTGAGAGTGGGGGAGTGAGAGAAGATAGCATGTAGAGCTTGCAGCATGCTGAATTCTTGCATGTAGACAAATCCCAATAAAACAGGATCAAATAACAAAGTTATTAATTGGGAGGGACTTACCACTCCCCTTCTCCCCCAATAATTCAAATACTCAAGTATTCAAAATAGGACAGAAGATAGATAGCTTGAGCTCTAGCTTTCTGATTGTGTGTCCAGTTCTTCAGTTTGATGGACTGCCTCTTAAAACAGAGGCAGACTCATGGGTCATTAACAGTTTCTCTTGTTAAGGGTTCCAGTCTTTTCTTGCATAGTCATGTCTGTATTCCTGATAGCGTAGGCAACAGTCATGAGCTTCACTTGTTTACTTACACACTCTGGGTGACTGTTAATGGTTAACATGATAACCTCCTCTTTTTTTTTTCTTTTTAATTTTATACATTTTTTTTCTTTTTTGTAGTAACAAAAGATCAGCCCAAGGGGATCGTTTATCAGCAATAACCATGGCATTGCAATATGGATCAGAAAGTGATGAGGATGCAGCTTTGGCTGGTAGGAACTGAAACACAGTTTCTCTATTTTCTGTAATTAAAATGTTTGGAATAAGCAAAACTGTAGAGCTTCTGAGACATTCAAATATCTTTATTTCAAAAATATTTTGCAGTGTTTCCAAACTCAGCATGTAATTCTCTTACATCCAATCCCTGTTTCCTCTAAGTATGAATTTATAAATGTACAGCTGGTAAGATAGGGTAGGCCAAACTTGCTTGCGTGTTTTGAATTTAGTGTGTGTGTTTCCAAGTATACTTATCCAAGCTTTAGGAAACTGTTGCTTGTTTTTATTCCTTCTAATATGAAACAGAAGAGGAGACACTGGAGAAGACACTGGGTGCGCCTTGTGGTGCAATTGTTTGAGAGAAATCTCATTTACGCTCACTCACACTGGCTTGTTCTCTCTTGCTCTCTTGTGCCATTGGGTCTTCTAAGTACCTGTCAGGTTTTATTTTTTTAAAGTGAAGATAATCTATATGAGGTATAAGGATAGATAAATGTCAGAACTTAGAAATATCTGATCTAGCCCAGCAATCATGAAATCTTGCATGAAGGTTTATGTTAAAACAAAAGCACATGAAAAGGCATGCCTTCATAGAGCATCCTTAGTTTCATAATAAGCATGCTTTAGCATTATACTATAAGCATATATGCATTATATCAGATATTTCAGTATCGGTCATAAATTGTTATAGGTTGTCTTTTAAGTTGACCACGAAATGGTGGAGTTCAAGATCCTTAGGGCACCGAGGAGGGCGCACAGCAAGCTCATTACCCTGGATTTCAGGAGAGCAGACTTTGGCCTCTTCAGGGATCTGCTTGGTAGAGTGCCATGGGACAAAGCCCTGGAGGGAAGAGGGGCCCAAGAAAGTGGGTAATATTCAAGGATCACCTCCTCCAAGCTCAGGAGCGATGCATCCCAACAAAGAGGAAGTCAGGCAAAAACGCCAGGAGGCCTGCATAGAAGAACAAGGAGCTCCTGGACAAACTCCAACACAAAAAGGAAGCCT